TGGTTATAATCAGTGCTTACATAAGCCATTCTGTTTGCAGTATTTTTGCCTTTTCAGGTAGTGTAGACTGATTATTAGTTAAAAATACACTGATCTACTTCAAAGACTATCACAGCATTTTGGAAGGTATACAGTGAAAGTGACGCCACAGGAATCAGTATTAGATAAGCAGCCCTCTTCATGCAGGGTTTGTCTGCCACAATTTTTCTGCTAGTTTATACAAAACTCGGGCAGAAATCCTTACCCCCAGGCCGACCCTTTTATGCTGGGTAAAAGAGCCATAGCCCCATAAAGGAGCCCTAAAATCCTGGGTGTGGCCAGGGGATGATCCCCCACAGTTCTGGCACTGCAGAAGACTGCCATAAGGCTGTGAGGACCCCATCACAAGCCTTGGTGTAGATAATGTGCTGGGGGCCACAGCGTGCACAGCTGCAGAGATCTGGGGCAGTTCCCAAAAGCACAGCCTGGAGCGTCTGGGATAATTTAGATAGGCCGGGAGCCTATCCATCCCCTGAAGCAGCCCAGAATCAGGAGGGCACAAAAAGGTAGCTGAAAGCCACCATACCCCCCCAGTTGTGCATTCTGCACTGTGCCATAATTTCAGTGGAATCATGGGCCAAATTCTGGAGAGTTTGCTCATTTTTTACTTCAGTGGGAGTTGTACCTGAGGAAGGACTGAGTAGAGTTTTAAGATTTGGTTCCATTCATTTACCTCTCTCGAAGAAAGATTCACATTGCCTTCAGTGAGCTCTTGGTGTCCTTCTGTATGGAAACTTCTTTTTTAATTGCAGTTGATAACTGCCTAGAAGGTTATTACTGCAGTTAGGTGTATCGCGTGCTTCTTAGAAATTGATGTTGGATTAAAAACACCTTTCGTACCATTTTTTTGATATTTAATTAATGTCTTACAAAGCAAACTGTGTGGTGTCAAACATTCCATCTAATTACACTCATTAGTGGCATCGCCAGGACAAGTAAGTTTTAATTAAGTTGTACAATGTAAATCAATAGTCATTGTGCCTTCATTGCAATTTACAACAAGAATATACTGTTCTGCACAATTTAATTACAGCAATTGCGGTAGTGGGAATTATTGGTGACTCTACCATTTTGTTTCAACAATCCTCTTCAACAATTTGCAACCATACAATTGGGAGAGTAACTTAAAATGTTCATATTTATGTATATTCTTCGTGTAAGCTGTCATGGTGCTGCCCGTGAGAGCCAGCTGAGATCACTCAGTCAGGGTGAATTGCAAACAAAACGGGGCAGACAAACCCCAAACGCTGGTGGATTTTCCAATACTTAGATTTACCCAGCCAGCCCAAAACAGCTCCGGTATTACCTCCCTGGTTACTCAGAAGTCCAAACAATGCAGTTCCCTTAAAATGCCCAGTCTCAGGCCTCCCTCCAGACACACATGTCAGATATGACGATGATTACAGAAAATCTTATCATAGAAAAGAAAAGATTCTTGCAACCCCAAAGGGTCAGCCACACACCCAGGTCCAATTATAATGTAGATCCGCTTATAGCCAATTCTTATTAACTAAACTAAAATGTATTAAAAAAGAAAAGAGAGCGATCAATATACATACAGACTTGAGTTCAGTTCTTGAGGTTCAGATACATAGCAGAGATGAGCTTGTGGTTGCCAAAAATGCTTTTAGAAATAGTCCATAGGTTATAGTCCAATGTCCATATTCAGGGTGACTCCAGTCAGTGACTGGGGATCTCAATCCTTATGGCTCAAGGTTTCCCCTTCTTGAAACCCAAAGCAGCTCTGAGACGAGGAAGGATCGTGTCCCAGGGTTTTTAAACATTTCCTGCAGCCTTTTGGCCTGAGAAAACAATAGGCTTGAGTTTCCTTCTTCCAAACATCGTGGCAATTAGCACAGGATAATTTATCCATTAAACAGTTCAGACACAGATTACCACAACTTTCAAAGAGACATATAGACAACAATACAATTTCCCTCAAGTGTCTTCCTAAATACTAATACTCCTTTTTTGATCTTTGAATTAAAGCTATAGCAACAGACAAGACTTGTTTGCTTACAACACAAGACCTGAGCAAACATCTACCCTTCTATCTCTAACAATGCAGGCTTGCATTTCAAAGCTCTATTCATTTACATATCTTCCTAACCAGCTTTTTAAAGTTCGGCCATGGGTCAGGTAAGTCTGTGAGTTAATTAACTCTTTCTGGCCCTGTCACCTTTCAATGAGAAATTATATTACACTCATAACATCACATAACCTTGCTGTGTATTAGAGCGCAGAAGCTGCACCATTGTATAATAGTCCCTGGGTACTGGACTTTCTGTTCCAGGTATATCATGCTTCCACTGAAGTCAACGGGAGGATTTTTCCCATTGAATTCAGTGGCAGCAAAATCTGACTCTTACACAATAACATCCATAGCATTTTGACAGGTTTCAGAGTAACAGCCGTGTTAGTCTGTATTCACAAAAAGAAAAGGAGTACTTGTGGCACCTTAGAGACTAACCAATTTATTTGAGCATAAGCTTTTGTGAGCTACAGCTCACTTCATCGGAAAGCTCATGCTCAAATAAATTGGTTAGTCTCTAAGGTGCCACAAGTACTCCTTTTCATCCATAGCATTGGAGAATAATGGGGTTAAATCATGTGGTTGGTTAAACAGGCAGCCGAGGGGGGCTGGATCCTAAAGATATGTTTCTTGTGACTATACCCCAGCATGCTCCAGGAAGCCATTCCTGGCCTTATGGCGCTCCAGACTGGCAGCATAGCAAAGTCCCAATTTTGCCTTTGTTTAACCGGAAGGAATAAACTTGGAAGCAGCCCAGCCATACAGCAGCTGAGCTGCTGAAAGGGGCTAGAGAATTCTTGCTACACTCTCATGGAAATGTATTCGCTTAGACACCATCTAGGTGCCTGCTCTTGTGAGAAGCCACCCAGGTACCATGGTGATGAGCATTGTATAAATGTCTAGATAAGCGGATAGTTTATAGGTCTTAACTGTGACTCCAGAGTTAAGGTTGGGGTAATTTTTTCACTTCAAGTAGGGGAATTTAAGCTTCTTGTTTAACAAAAGCCATAGTGGGCCTCTCCCCAGTTTACAGCACATAATCTCTGAGCAAAGACTGAATTTGCTGAGGATTTGTTTCAGTTAAATCTGTATTTTAGTCGTTTAAAAAGTCTCCTCTGAGATTTTTTTTAATTGCTTTTTATTTTAATCTCATCTTTTTTGCTTGTTACTAAACCTTCAAGTTTCCCATAAATGTAAATCTCATTGACTGATCTGTGAATAATAGGCATATTTGAAAAAAAAATCTTAATGATAGGACGTAAACAATCACAATTCCTGACAAGACAATTACAACTAATCAGGTCATTTGCAAGTAGTGACATTGTGACATCAAAAGTACTCAGCCAATCATCAGTAGTCCTCTTGCGTTAATTTGCACACTGCAGTCCAATTGGCTGAATTGAGTATGGGGGGCAGGGGCTGTACACATGCCAAGAGTTTTCATTGGTCCATTACTTGATTGTCCGTGTGCAGACAGAAAGCACAATGGATTGATGGGAGAGCTATGGAGATAATGTAGCATACTATGACATGCTTAATGTTACATACCCATCTTGTTAGTTCCCCTATGGAGTGAATGTTTAGACTCCAAATAGGTGGCCTAATTTTCAAAGGGTGTTGAGAGCACAGCTGTTCCCATTGTCTGCAAGAGGTTCTTTGGAGTGCTCAGTACCTTTTGAAAATCAGCCTTGTTTATTTAAATGCCTACCCAATGACTTAGGGTCCTAATTTTAGGTACCCGGTTTTGAAAATTGCGGTCTGAGTTTATTTTTATAATCAGTGTGGTGGTCAGAAATGAAAGGCTGACTGAAAGAAGTGGCTTTGAGGAGGGATTTGAATGAGGAAAGTGAGGTCGTGTGGCATAAATATAAAATCTATTGTGAAAAGGACATCTGTTCCTGGAAGAGAAGTGATTCTCTCTTCCATTAAGAGAGAAGTTTCCTCTTTGTCTGCAACTTTGTATGACAAGTTTCAGTCCTGAGACCATTCGTATCCTGCAGTTTTACAGCTCTAAAAACAGAGCTAATAATGCAAAGCACAACAGACTCTTAACTACAGAGACAGCACCAAGAGCTGCTGCAATTTTTCTTAGCTTGGCTAAGTGTGTGAAGATTTATTTTTTAATTACACTCACTATTTGGACTACAGATTTTAGGTAATTCATGAAAAAATGTTATAAGCTTGGGAATAGTTTATTGCTGTTTAATGTAAATTGTTTTTTTAATTGCTTGTGTGGCTTGCCAGGGCAAAATTCAGTGAATTTAGCCACAGTCAAACAGCCTGCAATTTACCCCGGAGATGTCCAGTCTTTAGTGAAGAAATAGGCTGGAACGGTTTCCGACAGCATTGTGTGAGGACTGATTCCTGCCCACCACCATTTCTATAAAATAATAAAGGGGCTCACTCATTCATTTTTAAAGTGAGCTGCAACTTTATATAAACAGAATAACTTGCACTCTTTGTTCCATTTATAAATGACTGGTTGTTTTTTATTGGCATAATCCCATTTGGGCATCAGGGCCCCACCACGCTAGGGATTGTACACACGTCATCAAAAAGACTGACTTGTGCCCCAAAGAACTTAGTCTGAAGCCCCAATCTTGCAAATAGTTACATTGACATGTCTGGGTTTGTACAGCGCCTAGCACAATAGGATCCTGGCCCAGAGCTGGGACTCCCAGGTGCTATGGTAATACAAGTAATTGAACTGCTTACCTGAGTAACGTTAGGCATCTGTTTAAATGCCTGCAGGGATCTATTCTTAACACTGCAATAACTTGTCTTGATTGTATCCTATTTTAACAGCAATCAGATTCTCTTTCTGTTAATTGCCAAGTGCCTTTACCAGGGCCAGCAAAGCCCCATGTATTTACTGACACTTGTATCCATGCAGACTCATTAAGGCTTTCTTCTTCTTGTTTCTTTTTAGTGAATTTACTGGACTCCCGCACAGTCATGGGGGATCTGGGATGGATAGCCTACCCGAAAAATGGGGTAAGTCTCAGACGTTTGCTTTCTCAAGCTGAGAGCAGCACTAATAGTTTCCATTTCGAAGGCAGAGTTCTGTGTTGAAAATTCCCTTGGGGGAATTGTTGGCAATAGAAGGGGAAAAAAACAAAACAAAACAACAAACTGCGACTGGAAAAAATGGAGCTGGGGAGGGGTGAGGAATTGATTTATTTCTGCAGCATTGCCAGCCCCACGAGTTCAAATATCATGAGTCAGACTCCCCACCCCAAATCATGACATTTTTAAAAAGTGATAAACTCTGAGTTCTTTTTCCTTCTGTTTTTAGAGCCACTAGGATGCACTTGGGTCATGTTTACATGCTTTTCTCTGCAATTGTGGTGGGCCAGAAACTTACTCTTTGTTTTAAATGAAAACTGAGGGTCTCACATGACTCTAGGAGCTGGCACTTCAAAAAACCAAACTCCAAATCATCTTGTGATAAAATCCCAAGCGTTGGCAACACTGTAATGTCTTTATTTATAGTTGGCCTAATTCTGCATCTTGTGAGTAGCGATAGTGAAAACAATGGTCTCATCCATGAGAGTGAGGAATGCAAGTAAGGGCTTTTTTTGTGATTCTAAGAGACCCATCATCCCCGAGGGTTGTTCTTTGTTGTGGTTTTGGCTTGTATGGATGGGGTTGAAACTGCGACTGCACAGAGAATTTTGATGAAACAATGGGGACTCAATCCTGCAAGGGGCTGAGCATTTTTGTGAGTTGCTGGGAATCCCCAGCTCCCTCACCCGTCGCTGAGCGGGACTGATCGGAGCTCAGCATGCTGCAGGATCGGGTCTTGAGTAAGGAGAGGGTTCCGAAATACCATACCTGGAGTTGTAGACAGTCAGCAGCTGTAAATGACTGCAGTGCCATCTTGGAATCTAATTTTGATTGGCTACTGATTGTCATGCAAATGACAATAATTTATATATATATATGGAAACAGAGGCCTAATTTGGCTTGGTTGTATACCAGCAGTCACTGATAGCCAAAAGGTGACTGTAGTTGTCTTTGACTTCAGACATATAAGAGATTGTAGAGAACTGAGAGTTTCTCCTGAACTGCACTAGGGGCCAGATCCAATTCTTTCCATTGATGTTAATGGAAATTGGATCAGGCCATAAAGGCAGAGTTGCCCTCTGAGATGCCCCTGGAGGAATTTGAGTGTCCTACTGTGCTCTCCCTATGTGGGGATAATGACACTGGCCTCCTTTGTGGATCACTTGGAGATAGACAGATGAAAAGTGCGATATTTGAACTAGGTATTATTATTACATGGGTGGGCATCTTAATGATCCCATGCCGGCAGAACAGCATATGGAGTTAAGATCAGCTGTGAAGGTCCGAGGGGAGAGTGTCCCCCTAACTAGAAGATTTTGTAGGTACTGGATGAAATATTATTTTCTATAGTGCCAGCCCTTTCTAGTATTTCCCCCCCAGCATAAGAAAGCCGTATTTTATTGTCAGCAATGCTAAAACGCTGTTACAGACATGAGTGCAGAAATCATAGGAGCCTAAATGTCCCATAGAGTTGTGTGTGCATGTGCAGACAAGAGCAGGGAAGACGCTAACTGCTCTAAGCATAGGCCTCAACTTTCTTTTTCCATGACCCAGAGAAGCTTTATGTATTTACAGATTGACTTTCCAACTACCACCCTGGGTTTAAAAACATAAGCTTGACCCATGAATACCAAATCAACTTGGAATTGAGTCAGGAGAGAAGGATTTGTTTCTTTAATTAACTTGCCCAAATCAATAAAAAGTGAAGCAGGCAGTCAGAATTGGTTTTTGAATTGCCAGAAGTCCCTAAATTTCCTTCGTTTTCATGGGGCTTCATAAAAATTCATGATGTCCAATTAGCCCAATTGTCTGTTTGGCCTAATATATTGGCAGTATTTTTGAAGTGGCGAGAAGTATCTTTCTGATCTACCCCCCCAACCCATTTATCACCTCTACAATCAGCAAAGCTCCAACCCTCTCGTTTATATGGTATTTCTTCTAAAGATCAGCCTGGTGTAAATATTTAAAATAACTCTCAGCTTGGCATACAGATTTAGAAGTGGGGAGCTTTAATTTTAAAATAAGATCCGAGAAAGGTGGGCTATTCCTTGGGAAGCCAGGTTTCCTAAGACAAAGGTAAATGACTGCAATGAATTTTGATTGGCCACTGATTGTCATGCAAAGGTTCAGTGAATGGACACATACAAATCTCTGCAGGAAGCAAAGGAGAAACCTTCCCGCATGCAACACTTCCTGTCAGTGAAAACAGTGTCTGGATATAGTATATGTACTGGAATAACCCCTTTGCATCATATTTATTCCCCTATCTAATACTATCCTTCAGTTTCTATTCACTTCAAGTATTTTATGGTTACATTTATTATACCACTGTTGCAGGGATACCACAGTTACTATTATGATAATATATCCTCTTTAAACTCCTGCTTTCAGTAACTCATGCAGTGTTGCCAATTCTCATGATTTCATCATGAGTCTCGTGAAATTTAGTATTTTGTTAAAGCTACAGCTGTTAGAATGAAGAGATTGCACGAGAATCTCATCTTTCCTAAAAAAGTAAGCTTCTAGTCCCCATGGTTGCATAGGAAAGCTTGGAAATGTTAAGTAAATGCACCCTAAAAGCCAGCTCAGATACCAGAAGGCAAATAAAAATAGGACCCAAATGTACTGGTTTAGAAAAACCCCAAAACCTCATGATATTTAAGCTGATTTCATGATTTTGGGGCTAAACGTGATTTTTATGAACACTTATGATTTTCTGGACAGCATTAGACTCAGACTGAAATTCTCAACACTCGTCTTCAGTACAAAGATGAATGATTTTAGGGTGGTTTAGCAAAATATTGTGTAACCATTATTAAGTTATCCTGAGAACGACAAATGGTAAATTTTCATGTTTGAAATCAATTGGGTTCCATGGGGTGGTCAGTATGGGCAATCATTTTGTCTACATCCTATTACAGACTGTCCCCGGGTTACGCAAGACCCGACTTACGCAAATTCGCACTTACGGAAAAAGTTCCATAATCTAGAAACAGAATGATTGCGTAAGTCAGGGGGTGTCTGTACTGCAAACGATGCTAACTTATTATTTATATTGTGGTAACATCCTCAGTTTTGCTAAGCTGTTTCCAAATATACAGGAAGAAAATTCCTGCTTGGCCTTAATTCAGTCTGCTCCTGGTCTCATTGATACCAGTGAAATGCAGAATAGCAGCATTGGTGAAAACCACACCACCTGCATGCAGCTTGAGAAATGAAATCTATGAAGGTGGAGGGCCAATCCAATCCAACCTGGAGCCAGGGCTCAGGGCTGTGCATGCCCTTCCCACAGCTATGTCTCCAGGTACAAATAAGCCATTTTTGGCGTTTCTTAATTCATTACAGTGGGTCAGACCCACAGCTAGTGTCAATCAGTGGAACTTCATTAAAGCTATGCCGAATTACCCCAGCTCAGGTTCTGGCCCATTGACTTTGTGGTTCTTGGGGAAAGCACTGTAGGTTAGAGTTGTCTGTCCAGTGGCTCAGTCTATTTAGGCACTTACCTGTGGTAGCCAGACACAGAAGCCAAAAACTGGACTGTCTTGGTAAAACCTGGACGGGTAGCAACCCAATCTGGCCCACATCACTGGGGTACCTGGCAATCATGAATGGATTTTATTCTCTGAACACCCTGGAAGGTAAGGAAGCTTTATCTTCATTTTACAGATGGGAAATGAGGCCCAGAGTAGATTAAGTGACGTACCCAAGGCTACATAGACAGTCTGTGGCAGAGCTGGGAATTGGCCCCACATCTCCAGACTCATAATCCAGTGCCTATCTCCTGGACTGTCCTTCCTGCTATGTATGGTGCTATATTCTCCCCCTGGCTTTCCTGCTCTGCTCCTGGTTCCTGGTAGCATTGCTCTCCCTCTGTCCACTATCCCTGGAGCCCCCTCCCCGACAGAGCACTGGGCCTGTGCGGAGCATTTCCCGTGCTCGTGTCTGTTAAAATCCTCACAAAGTTGTGGAGGGGTAAAGCACAGGAAGTGCGACCTGCCATCTGCTGAACTCTGGATCCCAGGGGGCCATGTGCAGAGTATGGGTTAAAGCGTTGATGTTGTCTCAGAGGCCCCTTTATGCAGCACCTGGGCAAGGTTTTTATCCTGTCATCACTAGTGGCAGAGGGGACGGTTTTGCCTCTCAGATATTCTGTAAATGTGGTTTCACTTCACTGAAGTCAATGGAATTACCCTAGATTCACCTGAGAGCAGAATTATGCACACAGTTGCGATCACGAGCTAAAAGACCTCCAGATAAACAAAAAAAACCCCAGCATCTGTGGGTGGGCTTTCTTGATTAAAAATGGGGCATGTCTAGCGTGCTTGCACTTTATACCCTTCCTGGCACATTTCCGAGGGTACTTTGTAGATTTCAATGAAGCGAGCCACATTAGAAATTTATGCAGATGTGGCTGTGACAATGATTAAGCCTGACATGCAGTAACTGCACTTGCTTTTACTAAACAGTCCCTTTTATCACATATAAAACTCACAGAGATTGAAACAATGGGAAATGGTGTAAGAGAAATATTTATACCAGATCCAGACAGGATTTCTAAACTAAGCAGACTTATTTCCTCTTTTCTTTTTATTTCCTAGAGAGGGGCAGAATCAGGGTAGGAGACACCCTGCACGGCTCTTAGGTCTAGGTACACCCCACCCAGAGACTCCCTGCAGACACATGCTTTACATCTTGTTTGATGTGGCCATGCAGAAATGCATGTGCTTATAATTACATCCGGCTAATTGCAACAATTGCCTTTTAAAATAAATACTCCGGTTGAGTTGGCTCTATTTGTTCAGCAATTAGGTCTGATATTTTTGTTTCGATAGTAACAATAAGTAGGGTGCGTGTTTTTAGAACTTTCCCTCTTGTGGGTTTTTTTTAAACTTCCTTGCAAACACCTCTTAGGACTTTTTTTTTTTTTT